TTTAATTCTCCATTGTCTGGCTTGTTGAATCCGTAAAGCCAGAGCGTTTAACCAATTGCTCTAGAGGGACAGCTCAATATATAAACACCTTTATCAGGTTAGCTAAATTTTATCCATAAAGCCAGGGCATTTAACCAATTGCTCTAGAGGGACGGTTCAAGCTTTATTGTATAAATATTATATTCACCTTTATCAAGCTAGCTGAATCTTATCCATAAAGCCGGGGCGTTTAACCAATTGCTCTAGAGGGACAACTCAAGCTTTATTGTATATATAAAATATTATAATCTAGGTATATGGATCTAATTTCTTAAGTTTGTCAAGAATAACCTGTTAAAGTCTAGGTGTTTACTGAAAGTCAAAAATTTCATCTTTAGAATTCAATTTCCAAGCAACTGACCTAGACTAGATTCATCTACTCAACTATTCCATCTGTAAAGATCATGATCATCACTGAACATCCTCAATAAAAGTATAGTAATGTCATACACAAAATATGCCCCATGTTGTCCGCTCCTATGTATACCTAATACCAAGCCTTTTGTTCATTCCCTCATGAGATGAGAAGACTGTATCGGTTCTTTGCGAGAAAAGGGTAAGGTGTTTTAGTGTATCTTTCTAAAGTAAGGTCAAAAGTCCTTGTTTTATCCATTTTTTATCGTGTTACTTTGTCAAAGATTTGTAACTCTGAATCATTTACAAAGTTTCTCAATTCAGTTGATATTCAAAGAATTTTAAGTTGTAGATTTTATGCAATGCTCAGCATAAATTCATTGAAATATCTTTAAAAAATGAAATATGAGAAAGTTCAAAAGACAAGTTCAAATAGGATGCTGCAAAATGGAATAAAGCCTCATTAGGATGCCCCATTATTTCTAGAATGCTGAGAGTCCTTGTTTTACCACTTTTGAATCATGTCATTTTGTCAAAGGTCTGTAACTCCGATCATTTACAAAGTTTCTCAATTCAGTTGATATTCAAAGAATTTCAAGTTGTAGACTTGATGCAATGCTCAGTATAAATTCATTGAAATATCATTTAAAATGAAATATGAGAAAGTTTAAAAGACAAGTTCAAACAGGATGCTGCAAAATGGAATAAAGCCTCATTAGGATGCCCTATTATTTCTAGAATGTTGAGTGTCTAATTGGATTAGGGCCTTTATACGCATTTGCTTCCCATTTCTTGATCATTTCACTTTCCATGGCTCCATTTGATGTACCCTCAGACATTCAAATTTCTGCTTTGGGTGTGTCCTTGCTTTCATACTTTTTTATAAGACATCTCTTGTTAGTTAATGTAATGAAAAAAAGAAAAAAAAAGAAAAAAATAATGCGAAATATGCAAGAATGCATGATGCATGAACTGTTCGAGGCATTGATCCAAAATGAGTCTATTGCTATAAATAATCTTTATTGGGGGAAAAAGTGTTACGTCTTAAGAGACAAAAAAATATTTTAAAGGTATAGACCCCGAACAGCTTCTGACAGGTTGAGTTGAATACCCTATCGAACCGCTCCAGCTTCTCTGGCTAAACCGTGTAGGTGATGAGCTACTTTTTGTACTAGTCCCAAGAAGTCTCGAATGGTTGCATCTCCGGTTTTCACTCTCTGTTGAATATGTTCCCTAATGGAAACGCCATTAAAGCCATCCATCGTTAAGAGCTACATGAACTTCATTTGCTTGTTTCTTGAATTCGTCAGCAACGACATCCAGCTCAGCTAGGGTTTTGCCATCTTGTTCTCGTAATCTTCGGAAGGACTCTCCGAGTCAGTAACCTTTTTCTTGTCTTGCCCTTGTAACTTTCGCCATCCCGTTTTGGAAAAGTTAACTTTTGACATGCTTGGCGGAAACCCGGTCCATTCCGAGTCTTTTTTTTTTACCATAGCTAGACTTCTGAGCTTTTCATCTCTTGTATTATAACCCCTTTGTCCATTAATGCAGACTATTTACGTTTAACGAACATGTTTTTTTGTGGATAACACCTCTTTTGAATGATGCAACTGATGAAAATAAAATAAAAGAGAACAAAAATGAAAAGAGTTAGTGAGGTAAAGATAATAATCAAAACAATCATGAAAATAAAAGTCCTACCCCACATGTTTATTATTCCTACCCGACCATGATCTCTATCCCACACGTTAATTTTGAACAAATCCTAACCACATAAATTTCTAGTTCACATGCTTTGAACAGAAAATAAATAAGGAAATTCTCAAAACAGACTAGGGTTTGAAATGAGGATTTGGGGTGGGCTCTAACTCCTTGTAGTCTCCTGGTTTAGGTTCTAAAAATGGTACCCGATTTCTCCTTGTTGGTGTCCCCTTAGGCTTGTCAGACCCTTAGTCCTAAGCCCATTACAAGCTCATGTGGACTAAGTTAAACTCGAGATGATACATTCCCTTATGCCCGCACGGTGAATAAATTCACACGAAGACATAAGGTATATGAATCCCGAAGGTTACTTGTTAGGCCCATACGGAGAATAAATTCCCACGAAGGCGTCGCTTTCACCCACACTTAAAATGGGTTTGGAGCTCGGGTATAGAGCCAACGATGAAAACTTTTCAAAAATCTGAAATCATTGAAAAAACGTCAGTACAACTATTTACTTGAAAAAAATAATCAAAGATAAATAATTGAAATCGAATAAATAAATTTAAATTTACTATTTTCGCTTAAAAAGACAACCGAAAATTAATTCTGGCCTGACTCACTTACATGTACCCAGCGAAGTCGCCAAGATATCGCGACCGTCTTTCGGGTGTGCCCGGAATTGGGCTTCGACTTGAATAATTGGGTTAGAGTCGCCACCGATCATTTTAAAACGATATTTAGGCAGATCAGACACCATCTTACATGATCTGTGTTTTACCAGAAATGTGTCGGGTTCAAGAGTCGGTTACAGTCAAGGAAGTATTAGCTCCCTTATACTGCCCTTTTGGTACCAATTAATTTGTCGATTGTCTTTAATAGCGAAAATTAAAATTAAAATTAAAAAAACCCGATTCAAATTACTTACAGTAAAAAAATGTTAGATAATAAATATTAAATAAATCAAGGAAACAACAAAAAATAAATAATAATAATAATAAATCAAAAGGAAAAAACAATGTTAAATAATAATAATAATAATAATAATAATAATAATAAATAAAATAAAATAAAGATATATTAAATAATTCAAAGTAAAAACGTAAAAAAATATAATAATAATAATAATAAAATAACGAATCAAAGAAATGAAAGAAAGAAAATAAGATAAAAATAGATAAAATCAAAGAATAAATAAAAAATAAATCAAAGAAAAAAACATATTTAAAAAAATAAATTAAAGGTATGGTATATGTTTAGAACATAGTACATATACATACATACACATATATACAAGAGATATAAATAAGGGACCTAAATGCTTTAATTCAAGAAAAAAGGCCAAATCAAGCTTCATTCAAAATTAGAATGGTTACATGCATAGTATATCCAATATATTAAGAAATACACTTCATGGCTAAAATCCAAAACAAATTAAAGAGGGACTCATCTTTTCCTTTTACCAGAGATTAACATGAGAGAGAGGAGTAGGGGAGAGCACGTTGTCGCCTCCTCGTCGATAAAGGGAGAACCACTGTTTTTTGTCGGTCTCTGGAGTCCGTTCAACGCCAAACATCAAGGGAAAGTTCGTCTCGATGCCAAGAGCACGAATTTGACCTTGGTTTCGTTGAAAAACACCCCAAGCTTCACAAAGCGGTAAAAAACAGTTCGATTTTTCCACTTTCAAATCTCCTCATTCGATCGTTGGATCGACTCCATTTTGAAGTATATTGGTCCCTTAACCCGTGTGCATCTACGAATAGTCCGGATCTACTGTCCCATCACTAGAGCTGCAGCCGTCGAAGATCCGATGGTAAATTTCTCTTTTTTCTTTTTCTTTGTTTTTATTTCAAAGTTGTTGCTCCTGGTTTTCCTCCCTCTTTAGTTCCCCCCTTGCTTGCGTTTAAATAGCCTAGTGATTGGCTATTTTTGGAGATGTTTTAGAGTCTCATTTGGACTCAAATGCCTCAGTTTTTAATGTTTCAATAGAACTCAAATACATTGGTTTGTTTTCTGAATCTCACTAAATCGGGGTTGTTGAATGGTGGTGGTTGAGTGTGTCAGACAAAAAGTGTGTTGACAGGTTCATCTCACTTTGTATCCGGAAACCATAAGGTAAAATAAAAGAGAGAAAACCCAGAAAATTTTCCCGAGAAAATAACAGATTTACAGATCAGACAACTTCCAATTAACTATATTTGACTCTTGTTCCATCAGGGTAATGAATATCTTCCATACCCTTTCTTTTGTTAACGTTCACTACAGCAAAATAGAATTTTAGCGGTATTTTTTTAGTCCTATAGCGGCATTTTAAGCACTGCTAAAAGCACTCGCGACAATAGTAAAAACGCCGCAAGAAGCGCCAGTCATACTAGCGCCGCTAATCTTAGCGGCGTTTTTGTATACAAACGCAGCAAAAGGTCAGATCTATAGCGGCATTTTTTATACAAACACCGTAAAAGATTGAGATCTATAGCGCCATTTTTGTATATAAACGCCGCAAAAGGTCAGATCTGTAGCGGCATTTTTTGGAACAAACGCCGCAAAAGGTTAGATCTATACATCGCTTTTTGTATACAAACGCCACAAAAGGTCAGATCTTTAACGACATTTTTGAATACAAACGTCGTAAAAAGTTAATTCTTTAACGGCGTTTTTGGAACAAACACCGCTAATTACCATTCTTTAGCTAAGATTAATTGATATTTTACATACTTCATTTATGCTGTATATCACCTTAATTTAATATCATGTAACTTTATATAAATAACAACCATAAACTTTAACAACAAAATAAATTAAAATTTATAAACATTAAAATTAAATGTAATGTAATCTGACATTGTTCTATAGAATTTAGTCTAGGTTATTTCACTTTCAATTAAAAAAAATATTATTCACTAGAATTTAGTCTTCATTGCTCCGGTTAACCAAGAAGACTCCTTGCACGCTTCAATGATTCACTTTGAAACATATAACGACCTTCCACCTACAATATGAAAATTGAGAATTAGGAAATTTCAGTTCTCATCTCATCCATTGTTTTGTCAACATCATCTATATTCCTCTAGAGAATGCAAATTTCAGTTTAACTGTGAGAATTAGCCTCTGCTCATGCTTCATGAAAGACCCAAATATAAGTGCTAATTTAGACCGTATAAACCGCAGGCCAACAAACATCAATGATATGGTAATGATATGATGAATTTAACGGAATACATACGGAAAGCAACAATAGATATCAAATTTAAATTTATTAGGTAGAAACACCAACCTAAAAGAGAAAAGGAGAAAATTTTAGAGTAAAAGTTATAGAACTCCTAGTCATTGTTGAAATGCATCAACCGATAGTAGAACAAAGGAAAAAGAAAACTAGTTAAAAGAATTAACTAGAGGAGGGACAGAAAATAACCTCTGGAAATGTCAGTGCTTATCTTCTGTGTTGGGAAGAAAGATGAAGTAGAAACAGCAGGTTTTACAACACTATTGTAGTTTTGTTCTGTCATATCTTGCCACCAAGCCAGAATGACCTTGAACTTTTTAGAAGCACCTGCATAAATGAAGGGTGAGAGAGAGAAAACAAATATTAGATTTTAGTGCTCAATCTAAGGGCTTGCACATGTAGTAAACTAGAAAATGCAACAACTTTGACACGATAATTTCCTCAAACTAATACCATATTAAATGGAAACAAAAATAAAAATGCATATACACATTGACAACGGTGTTATCCCACATCCATCGAGTTTTCTGTGATCTTATATTAAACTTGGGTGTCTTCACCTATTACCAATTGGTTTTATATTAGACCTTAACATGGAATCAAATCCCAAGGTATATTATCTTATAGTTCCTGCCTAAACCCTTGTGACCTACATACATGATGGGAATGTGAAGTGGTGTTAACACACTTCAATTGCATACCACACACTCTATATGAAAATTTTGAAGATGTGTGCACTATGTCAACGGCCATGGACCAGAAGTGGTATACTAACTATGATAGAACACACCTCTTCTGTCTGGACTGCAGCCAATACCATCTTATTTTCCAGTTATTTTGTCCCAGGAAGCTAGGGTCGATGAGAGTGATTCATATAAAGTCCCAATTTCATGCATTTACATATGATGTGATTATTTTTATAATTTATTGTGCTCTATAAACAACATTTAGCTCCAAGAGAAAAAGAACATCCAAGATGCATACCTGTTCAAATGAAAATTATCACAAAATGAAGGGACCTTCAGTGATATCTAAGTCTCTTTCTTTCTTTTGCACAATGACTTCAGAACTTGCCAACTGCCTTTGAGTTAGTGAATGCCTCCTCTCTAGGTTTTGACAATTACAACCCAATAGTTTATGGAAATTCAACTGATCCTGGAAAAAGATATCCTAAGTAATGGTATTTGATCATAGAATATATATGTTAACATAGAGGCTGGACATTAAAGCTGGACAAAACCTAGAGAGGAGGCATTACCACATTTATGCTCAAGTAAGTCACTTATTTGCAGAACCTGTACAACAACATAGGAAAAAGTAAACATGAGTCAACATCAATGTTTAACTATGACATGCACAATCACAGTTTATCATTGAACACCGTGGTACCGCAAAAACCCATAGGCTTTCCAAAAATTAGCAGCCTCTCTTAAATCTCACTTTTATAGCAGTTATCAAAAAGTTTAGGGAATCAGAAATGTAAAAGTAAATAGTCAATCACCAAGCATTAAAGTAAACATTACCTCTGGAAAGTTTCCAAGTAATGCTGTCAGTTTCTGTGACAATACAAAATTGACAACTACATCTGTGTAATAAGAAGCAGACATGATTGATTCATCACCTCTCGTTTCATGAGAATTCTGTTAAGACAAAGCAGTAAGAGACTAATAATACAACAGAAAATAGTGAAAAACATTGGGACAGAAAAAGAATGTTTACCACCTTGTTCGAACAAGAAAGTTCTTTGCGGAAGTAATAATCAAGCACACACCATATGGCTTTTCCATTGACCAGTGAAGAAAAGCTTTCAATCCTAAGACCATAATTTTCACCAATTGCCTACAAATATTTGTTCAACTTATTAACTTCAGTAGTTGGACAACAAAAAATTAATTTCAGTAAGATCATGTAGATGCAAATTTAAAAGTGAACACGCAGGAAATGAAAATCCCTGAACACAACCATTGATTAACAAATATATCAGAAAAATTTTGAGGAATTGATCACATTCAAGTTATCCTGTAATAATTAAAAAAACGAAATTGAATTTATGAACATCAGGACTTGTTGATCCTAATGTGTAAACATCAGGGTGATAGGACAGATATGCCAACCATGAGGATTGAGGGTTCATGTTGCAAAAGTTGAATAACTCTACAGAGTCGCACACCATCTTGAAGATCCAAGAAAAAACCTGATACTTGGAAGTCAAACTCAACAAGGGCAGACTGCACCAAGGTAAATTCTTGAGGGTAAAATTTATAAACATTAAAATTAAATGTAATGTAGTTTGACATTGTTCTCTAGAATTATCATCATTCCTGCAATGAATATTATTCAGATTGAAATTGCAAAGAACTTTTATACAAAACTGAAGTCAGGCACTCGATAATGAGTTCAAATGTTTATCGCAAATTGATGCTTTTCAATTGATTAGGTATCCAGCTGGTAAAACGGTTGTTGGAGACATATCTGTGAAAGGGAGAAACAATTATCATAAATGTCAATATTACATGGTTATTTACAATATAAGGAAACAAAAGACATAATCTTTCAGTTAAATCGGCTTAAAGACAGACATCTATGGAAAACAATATAATCTGAATAGTGGTAAGAAAAACATCTTATAGTGTGGAGAGGGAAGAAAGTGGTCCGAACATGTCACTCAATTGGTTCTGCAACTGGTTCTGTGCAAGATTTCTGCATTTCCAGAAATGGAAAAGAAAAGGAAGAGCACGAGAGTTCAAGGGACACTTCCAGAAATGTCTACAGACTTCATGTCAAAAAAGCGAATGTGCCTTCATGAAGAACAGTATTTCACAAATAACAATCCAACTATCCAAATAACAACAGATTCCACAAACCACGATTTTGAAGCTAAGGAGTTCACAATCGTAGGCATAAAAGTTCAGAAAAATCGAAACGGAGAAAAATCAGGCAACAACCTGACTGGTTAATAACCTTTCAAACATATGGAACTTCAGTGATATAACAAAGCCAACTAGAAAACGCCAACAAATAAGAATTCAATAATAAGAACTAAGTGAAACCAAAAACTAATTCTTCGGATATCATAGTGGAACCGATACAGAATTTTTTCAATTGAACAAGCTTTTGAGCTGAAAAGGGGAATCAACAGAAGAAACAAATTCACGGACAGCATTAAATTGTAATCTATGATAAATTAAGCAAATTCAACAACAGAACAACGATTTGCCCTTCTTCGATCAGAATTCTCGCCAAAACTCACACAATAAAAGACCATAGCTAAAACAAAAACAGACCCACTATCAAAACAAAGTTGAACACAAAACCCATGATCAAAATCTTATAAAAATCAACAATAATCATTGAGAGCTAAACATATATTGACCCAAAAAAAATTACGGGGATCTTGTGAAGAGGGACTTGGGACTTGAAGTAGATGTATTCTCCGGGCGCCGCGAAGACGCTTTTCATTGCTGAAATCAACTCACTCTACATTCATTCCATTCGATGTTTTAGATCAATCAAATCGATTCACGATCTCCTTGGTTTTTATTTTATTTAAGCTTCTCTTTTAAATTTGACGAGTAGACGATAGAAACCACGTGGCTGGGGCTTAACGATCGATTTTCCTCCAAAGTTTAAACTGAAACATATCGAAGCAACGTGCAATCAAATAAACTAAGAACGAAATTAGGGTCACGAAATGATTTAAAAAGACTGCAAGAAAAGGAAAGGCAGAAACCTAAGTTTTCTAGAGTAAAAAATGAAGGGGCGTGGGATTTAAAAATTATAATCTTGCGGCGTTTGTGACTAAAATGCATGTCTTTAGCGTCGTTTGTATAAAAACGATACTAAAAGACGACTCTATATTGGTGTTTGTATAAAAAAGCCACTAAAGTACGAGTCTATAGCGGCGTTTGTTATAAAAACGCCACTAAAGTACAGTCAATAGCGGCGTTTATTCAAAAACGCCACTAAAGTACGAGTCTACAGCGGCGTTTTTATAAAAAACGCAACTAAAGTACAGTCTATAGTGGCATTTTTATAACAAATGCCACTAAAGTATAGTCTTTAGCGCCACTAAAATACTAGTCTATAGCGGCGTTTGTTCTAAAAACACCATTAAATTAAAATCTTTCGCGACATTTGTATAAAAACCCACTAAAGTACAGTTTTTAGCGGCGTTTGTATAAAAACGCTGCTAAAAATGCCGCTATAAACCCATTTTGCTGTAGTGGTTTGATTTCGTTTCTTTAGATGTAATTCCTTTTATGAGATGAGGCTTCAGCTTGGTTACATCTGATAATTGAACTGGCTTTAAAAAGAACTCTTCAGCTCCATCTTCTAAGCATCTGATTGTGATAAAATTCATGTCAGCTTCTTAATTATTACTACTAATCAAACGTTGAAAAAACATGTTATACAAACTACAAACCTGTTGATTCTTGATGGGATGTTCTCAGAAGACATGATAACAATAGGTACATCTTTAAATGATGAAGACTGTTTGATTTTTCTCGGGAGATCATATTCTATCATTCCAAGCATGCAATAATCAGTGATGATCAAATTCACTCTCGCTTGTTCATCACCTATTCAACACTCGAATTCCTTTCTTCATCTTCATTGTTATCATTCAATCCAAGAAACTCCAAAGCCTTACTTCCAGAATCAACCGCAGTAACTGTAAAACACAAACATCAAATTCAACCAATGTTGTGTTTCTCAATTAAATAATTGTTTTTACCAAAAATTAAAAAGGATTACCTTGAGAAGAAGAAGACTTGAGAAGCCTTTCAATAAGTTTTGTTGAAAACATTTTGATGTTTCGATATAACAAATTAAGTTAAATGAATTTTAAGATTTTACAAATTATTTTCTAAAAGTATATTCGATTTAATTACTCGAATATCAAGCTATTACTCCAAGTATTTCAAGATCAATTTTAAACCTTACTAAATGAGTAAATTTGTGTTTTATACTTAAACTATTTTTAAACAAATTTTCACAAAGTATTTTGAACCAAAATCAAGCCTAAAATCAATTTTTCAAGGGCATGCACCAATGCACCAATCCATGCATCGTTGCATCAATTAATTTCTTGAACATCGAATGCATTTTATGCAATGATGTACATACCATGCATCGATGCACTCAGTGCATTTGATGCATCGATGCACAAGACTATGCATCGATGCACTCAGGCTTTTTCAAAACATCGAATGCATTTTATACATCGATGCACTCTTAGTGCACCGATGCACTGAGAGTCCAACAGTCAAAATATTTGAATTTTACACTGATGCACCGATGCACCTAGGGCATGCATCGATGCACAGACGCTCCCATCCACTTTCATTAATTGTTTTCACACTTAAACGGCTCTATTGACTTCATTAATCATCCCCAACGTTTAGAATCATTTGAAGGTGTATTTAAACAAGCTTAGAAGCCATTGATCAACAACAAGAAACATCAAGCAACTAGAATCAAGAGAGAATCAAAGAGAAAGCATCAAACCTCAAGTTTGAGCATTTCAAGACTATTTTTCATTCAATGTTCATTTTCCTTTCAAGAACACTATTTGTACTCAATTGTATTTATTCTTGAGTGTTCCTTTCTTTGTTCTAAAATTGTGCAAACAATCTACCTTGTGAGGATTTCCTTGTATGTTTGCAAATTTGTATTGTTCTCTTTGGGAGAGAGTGTTCTCAAGAATTTGGGGTATAATTCTTGAGGGTTTGTAAGGTTACTCTTTGTCCTCAAAAGAAAGACAAATTAGTGAATTTATGGAAAATCCTTAGTGTGGATAGTTAAGGTAGTCGACGTAGACTTTGGTTAAGAAAGTCGAACCACTCTAAATCGATGTGCAATTATTTTCAATTTTCTGCAAAAGCTTCCACCAAAATTTTAATTGCCATGTCACCCCCCTCTTGGTCGATTCCGTCAATCGATTAACTCAACAATTGGTATCAGAACCTAACTCATTTGAAGGTTTAATCGCCTCTTGAGTCGATTCGGGAAAAGTTACATAGATTATCAAGTTATCAATGGCATCAGCTTCAAATTTCAACTCCGGTCTCGATTCGATGCCCGTCAACAAGCCTCATTTCTTCAATGGAACTAACTATGCCTATTGGAAGAATAGTATGATGTACTTCATTCAAGCAAGTGACATGGGAGCATGGAATGCCGTAGAAGAATGATACATCAAGCCTCTCATTCATCCAAGATTGTGGAGTGAATGAGAGACAAGAATGTTCCAGCTCAACTCCAAAGCCATCCATGTCATATTTTGTGCTCTTGGACCAGATGAATACGGAAGAGTTTCATCTTGTACAACAGCCAAAGAAATATGGGAGAAACTTCAAGTCACTCATGAAGGTACCGATGAGGTAACCAAATGAAGATATCAAAGCTATGACGGATAGATTTTCAACGATTGTCAATGGTCTCAAATCATATGGAGAGATCATTTCAAATGAAAAGCTTGTGAGGAAGTTAGTCTACTCCCTTCCAAAATCGTGGCAATCAAAGAAGACGGCAATCATCGAGTCTAAGGACCTAACATCCTTAACTCTTGAAGAACTAATCGGTTCCCTCCTCACTCATGAAATGATGCTTGAAGATGAGGTGGACCTCGATAAGATTGACGTGACACCAAAGGAGAAGGAGAAGAAGAAAAACATTGGAGTTGCTCTTAAATCCAAAAAAAATGAGAGTGATTCGAATGACGATGATGATGACGAGGAAATGGCATTATTTGCCAAACGATTCAGAAAGTTGATGATGCCCAACCGAGGATGAAAATTCAAACGTCATGAAGGCTTCAAAACTGAATCGAAGGAGAAAGACCCGATCATTTGCTATGAACACAAAAAGCCGAGGCATGTCAAATACGATTGCCCACAATTGAAGAAAAAGGGTCAATCCAA